TAGAGACGCCGACTGAACTGTGGTTAGATGCCCGCTGTATTTTGGAGCCGTTCGGTTGTGATCCTGCGCGATCTCTTTATTCTACAAGCGATCGTGCCACCACAAGCGTGGCCCGACAATCTAGTTTGGAGGTCGAAAAGTTCGTAGAGAGTTTCACCACGTCTGAGGATCTACGGTCTAACAGCTCTTAAAAGTCTTGAGGACCCGGATTGACCTAATGCGCGACAGCAGCGTTTGCTGCATCGTCTCGAAGCCAAGAAAATTAGAGACGTTGGACCTCGTCTTGCCTAGACTCGCGGTGGCTCCAGCATTGCTTCAGATCTCGGGTCTGTCGCAGAAGTATCATGCTGTCCCATATCAACCTGGCGAGAGTGCTGCCACGATTGGATTACACTGCACGTCAACCACCAGCCATTTTGCCGGTAGTGCAGACATGGGCGAAGTAGTAATCACCCCAAAGAATTGGCTAAATTATTCAGCGCTTTGCCGAAATTGTGTGGTCATCGTCAAAGATATGACATAGGCTGATTAAGTTTATAATTAAAGATGGCCAACTTCACGGAAGCAAGCAGTGGCCGGACAGCTGAGAGATTGGCGAGTGGTGCGTAATTCAGGGTAATTGCTGTAGATTTGAGTTAAACTATGTGATACTAAGCACTACACAGCAATACATTTTGCATTCGTGAGTGTCTTTCTCTGACCGCGAGCTTCTTTTTTAAGAGTTGAAAAAGTTGCGATTCGCTGCTCTCAGGCTGCGGTCACGGTTTTACCAGTGGTTTGCGCGTGAACAATATACTTTGCATATAATATTTTAATCACAAGCCAAGGAACGTCGCCCGGTAACACGCTGCACAGTCAGGCAGCTGCTGGATCTGACCCGGGTGCCCCTTAGCTGCATTGCAGATCAGGGTTGGACACTCATCGGCCACACGATAGCATTATATCAGTACTTGAATCTTCCGTGAGTTGGCAGTACTGGTAGATACAACGTCCCTGGCAAGAATTACTATGAAGGCCCGATAATACCCATGATGTCGTTTACCCCCAATCTAGGTGCGTCTAGGAAGTGCTCGAGTAGGATCGCTGACTCAGGCCAAGTTTGAGCGGCCAGGTTCTTCCAAACACGTCCATGTTAGGAAGAACACTCCAAAACGTGGGATTTCAAAGGCATCCATTCTTTTACATTTGAATTCAGTATGGAAATTCTTGCCCGGTTCAAATGAACCGCGGTTCACAACCACGCTACGCTACTTCAAGATACGATTCAAGACACGTAGAATATAGAACAGTGGAATGCATATAACCGCACAGGAAATCTAGGAACCGCTAATCAGCACTACTTTGTAGCCGGCAACAACTAACTATTACACTCTCACTTTCCATTTTACCTTCCTCGAGTCAAACAACCAAAGACTCTAACTCCCACCTTCGAGTCTTCTCCGTCTTCGCTCCTCGGCATGCACCTTCGTCCTCGTCGCTGTTCCTCTGCTGCGCTGCTGTCACCATTCGTTGCATGTCATAGCACTTGGTCCAGGAGATGTATAGTGGCATTAAGGGAGGACAGTAGGACGCTAGATGTACCAGCGCCATGGCCATTGATGGTCATAACGCTGGTGCGTCGCTACAATACAAGGGCTCCATTGGCAGCAATTCTCCTACTGCACCGTGGTCAAAATTCGATATTACCTGTTAAGGGTTAGTACATGTAGATTTCGTAGGAGTTTTGGGCTGGGTTAGCCACTTTAACTCGACAACATCACTCACCGACCACCTAATATAGCGTTAACCTCTACACTCTTGTTACTTCAACTGACTTATTAGCTACTCCTGCTTCCAGCGTTATTCTCGGTGTGGATGGCGTCAGAGCTTCAGTCGTTATCAGCAACAGTGCCAGCGTTTCAGGTGCATGGGTGCGAATTGCGTTGGAACGGAGAGCGCGAGTGAGGTTGGTGCATCTAGTTTAGACTAAGCTGTTGGCAAGATTTGTTGAAAAGTAGAGACAGTAAAACTCGTTCGGAAGAGTATAAAAAAAATGCTTTTTCCTGTTTCTATTTCAAGGCACGCTTATTACCGTTTAACACGACGGAAAAAGACCACAACTATAGCAGGTACAATATGTTTTTGCATAGTGATATCTGCTCTTACTGAGAGCACTGAGTCATTGTTGTAGCTATTAAGCCATGAACTCCACACACCGCCGGGCATAAT